GGGACAACGGCGGCCATTTTGAAAATGTCTATTGTCTTATTTTCGCCTATGAATCATGTGCATCGGTGGCATATAATGGAGAGTTACAGCAAACCGGAGAACCGGCCCCGGTTTGGTACCCGGTAGCCGACCGGCGCCACTGCGCGTGCTCAGAGGTAGAGATTAAAATCGGCTGGCTGCAAGTGCACCGACCAGGGCCGTACGCAGAAAAAAATTTCGGGGGGGGGGGGGAGGGGGGTCAGAACCCCCTAACCCCCCCCTGGTTACGGCCCTGCATGCACCCATACAATTTTCAAGTGTCCGGGTAGTGCCCAGGTTTCTTGGAGGTAGGGAAATCCTATGCCCGTGCCCCGTTTTCTTCGACATAAGTTCCGATAAACACAGACTTTTTGCCCAACACCGAATCAAACTGAAAAAAAAAATGCCCTTCCACCAAAAAAAAAAATCCACTTTGTTTAGTAGCCCAAAGTTTTCAGTCCAGAGGCTTTCCAGCACCAGGGTGAAAATGGCACCTTTAGAGTCTATCCAGTGTAGCAGGTCAGCCATGTTTGGAGCTTTATGAAGCCTTTTATTTTTGTTTAGAGAAACGTGAAAGCTAATATTAAAGTACCTCCAACACTCCTATGAGCGCAGGAAACCTAACAGCAGAGTTAATGTGCAATGTTTGCTTTCACATGTATATAATATAATTATAGCACAAAAATTATAATTTATTCCCCCCCCCCCCCCCCCCCCCAAAATTCTAACTTAGAGGAAAAGTACTAAGTTAGGCTCCTCCAATTAAAAATGCTTTTACAACACTTACATATATGAGGTATTTTTATTCTTAAACAAGCATCTCTACTAACTATGCTTTTGCAAAGGGGAAACCCACCTATGCATATATACTTCCATACTGATTCGCATTTGGGTTATAGAAAACCATAATGCATCATAGTCTCTCTCTCTCTCTCTCTCGAAAAAAAGGCTCACTTACCTAGATGTGGACGTGTCATTCTCTGAAAATAAAAAATATAAAAAAGAAGAAAATGGAATTACAGACGGCAGAACTGGGTTACTAATCTCAATGCCACAACAGATAAAAAAGAAAACAAGTGCTTCAAACACATGTTTGTTAAGTTAGTCAACTGGTAAAAATTAATAAGTACTCCTTTTAAAATTGGGATGACCTACGCAGAGAAAAAAAAAAGTGTAGACTACCATGCTGTTCTCAACTCTAAAGGCCCGTTCACACTCTTGCGACCGAGTACGACTGAGAGAGACGAGATCTCTTAAAACTTCTTAAATGTTTTTAGAATGAGGGAACATACTGGCATTGTGGCGCCATCTATGCGGTGACCCTGGAACTGCATTTCACAAGAGCGAAGGTTTTGCGGGATTTCCGAGGTCAAATGTGCGTAATACCCATAGAAAGGCTCGTTTATAACATTGACCAAAAGTTTTTCGAGCCAAGAAAGAAAGGATAATGCGCGAGAAATAAAAAGAAATATGCCGGACCGCCGAGTTTACACTGCTTCCCAATACGTGGCGCCAGTGTGTTTTCTGGTTTAAGAAGTTTTAAGGAACCCAGGTTTAAGAGGTCGCAAGAGTGTGAACGGGCCTTAAAACGCACCCTCGTTCCGAATCTCATATTTCAACATCTAAACGGTATTAGCGCACACGTAGAGGGAAGAGAGACTAGCCCAATTATCTACCCCTTCTCACATTTTCAACATCACCTGAACGAGTCCAGCAACCCCCTAATTCTCCAAACCATAAAAAAAAAAAAAGAATTGCGACATTGAGGTTAAAAGGCCAGCTGAACCCGTTCCGGCGACAGGAGAGCCAACACGCCTGCAAACGAGCGTCGCACCCCTCAAAACATCTCGAGCACATAAAAAAAAAGGCGGAGTGGGGGGGGATACACCATCTCCTAAACACGCCCGTAGACACTATCGCGTCACCCAACAGGTTGTAAAAATGCCCCGAGGGTCCCAAAACGGCGCAAACATCGCACCCCAACCCCCTTCCCCCGCTGTTTGCTCAACGTCGACCTTCCCATACCACCATCCCAACTCTCCTCTGGGGTGTTAGCAACTCTTCAGCCTCCTAGAGACTTCACCGTCAGGCACGCGATTTTGCGGAAAAAAAACACAAACTCGTTCGCGGTGAACGCGGGGAGTGTTCCCCGCAAAACGAGATGGAAAAGAAGCCGTTCTCCCGCTCCCTGTTTTCGCATCGATTTCGTTCCTGTTCGCTGGCAGGAGCGTCCCGTAAGTGCGCTTCCCCCCTCGACATTGTCGCGGAGCCGGTCCCTAAAGGAGGCTTTGCCGCATGCACCCCAAGCACCGCAGGAAAGGCCCCACTCGCCGCGGAAAAAAAAAAAAAAAAAAAGTGCTAGTTAAAATATGCATTAGGAAGAAAAAACAGGACAGAAACATACCGCGAAGTCGCAACTTTGCTGTAACTTAGGAAACGCAACCCCCCCCTAAAACAACAACAAATTGCTTTATTTTAGAAGAAAAACGTATGGGGGCACTGTGTCTCGTAAGAGCGAGTAGCACGGTCGGTAAATTACGTCAGCAAGGGAACGCAAGATATCGACTTCAGCGAATCACCGCGTGTTTTTTTACGTTTCTTTTCGTATTTCGTAGACACTTTCATATTTTATCTTTTCGTCTTACACAGGAAGCAGGCATCTTTCGATTCACTTCGCTTGCGGAACATGGCGCCAAATCTGCTAAATCATTTGATAAACGAAGAAAAGACACATTTCGAAACTGTAACCAAAAACGCGGAAGCGCCTGAAAAAAAGAAAAGAAAGATGCTTATAAATTTTTGTAAAGCAAAATTAGAGCGCAGCTCTTAAGGAGGAGGGGAGGGTATGCCCCTCCTCCCTCTCCCCTGTTCCTTCCTCCTCCTACATACCCTCCCCTCCTCCCACAGTTTCCCGGCTAATTTAGCTGAAAAACTGACGCCACGTGACCTCAACAGCAATTCAATTCCCCGCTAAATTTAGCGGGCAATTGCATTCCCGTTGAGGTCACGTGATGTTAATTTTCCCGCTAAATCTAGCGGTAAAACTGAATTTCTTCATACGTGACGTGACACCAAGTCATCTTATGTCATTTTCCCCTCTACATTTAGCGGGGAACTGCTTCGGACGTGAAGCCTGAAGTCCAACTGATAAGGACAGTGGGGCGACCTTCAGCAGGTGGCCGCCGAAGAGCGCGCGGCATCGCGCGATGTCAAAGGGGGGAGGGACGCCGCGCGCGTGCGGCGCCTGCGTCTGCAGCAGTAACTGTTCTAAAGCAAAAGCCTAAAACAAAGGGAATCTTGCACGCGCGTTCGTCAACGCTTTATTTTTGTTATTTACTTCGAATCTTTTACACGGGGAAGGCGCGCGCGTGCGGCGCCGGCGCTTGCAGCATTCACTGAACAAAACTGTTGGTCTACGCTCGGTCTGACCTGGGAGACAATAGACGATCTGCCAAAACCTAGCCATAGACAGCTTACCTGTCGTGTCTCGTCTTGTTTCTTCGACGGTGCTCCCTGATCCTCTTTGATTTCTGCACCAGAAAAAACAAAAATGCACTGCATACAACACCCAGCACTCAACACACCACCACACGGAAAAACGAAGTACTGGTGCGCCGAAGAAAACGTTGAACCGCATTTTTACGATAGGGAGTTGGAGTAGATCGTTCCCGAGCCACGCTAACAAAACCCGGTAATGATATGACGCATACGCAAAGGCACCGGGCAAATATAAAATATCGAAATGTTAAAAAAAGAAGGTCTAATATTCTTTAACGTATAACGTTTGGCCATGGGCGAACCAACCCGGGGGGTGTCAAGGGGGGCGCTTGGCAAAAAGAAGACCGCTACGGCCTCCTCCAGCCAATCAGAGCGACAGAGGCGAAGTACTTGACAGCCCTGGTCAAAAGTACAGGCGTGAGAAAAGGAGGAACTCCTCCCCTCTGTCCCGGACCCCCTTTTGTCTCTCCCAGTACGTCGCTTCCGCCCACCTACCTAGTCGCTCTACATTCCTCCAAAAGCGGCTTTTCCTTCCACTGCCGCCCGTGGCTTGGACAGCATTGCGCGCAACTCTGAGAGGGATTACTGTCACGTGTCTCCCTCCGATGCGCTGATTGGCTCCCTGAGATTGTAGCCTTCGCCGTTTGCCAAGTTACGGCAAGCTACACAACAGTGAGCTGTGTAGCACACTGTAGCGCAGCGGTCGGAGAAAATGGCGGCATAAACACTGCTCCGAACGCCGTCCGAAAATGGCTACATGTGTACCGTTTTACTTCCCCTCTCAACGGGCGCACACACCAAAATCACAACAAATCAATCTAAAAAAAAAAAAAAAAAAAAGCATTGGGAAAGGTTTGGACCACGTTCACGAAGAACCAACCGGACCAGGGGGCCGCGGCGGAAACCGGCTGTCAGCATTAGCGGCACACACACACACAGCGTAACCTAGGCAAGTACAACGCAGTCGGTGAGGTCTTAGGTGACCACCATAATACAACAATAACTATTCACAAAAAAGAAAGGAAAAAAAAAAAAAAGAAACAGTCGAAACAGTAGCAAAAATGGTCCCGATCGAGCCCGTGTCCGCGCTCGAGTGCAGTTCAAACAGGCCGCCGGGCGTCCGTTCTGTCAGAAACAGTGCTCTCAAAGAAAGATCCCTCCACCACCCTGAGAAAGAGGAAAAGGGGGGCAAAGAACAACAGCACGCTCTACTCCTAAGAGCGAGTAAAAGCGCTCAAGCGAGCAAAAAACGCCGCTGCCCGTTTCCTGTTGTTTGCGCAGGTTCCGCAGGATTTTCTTTCTGCCGCTCCTCAAACATTGAAACAAAACGCGAGGTTAAAGAACAAACAATGAAGCGCACGAGTCCGCTGCCGTAAGCGTGTTCAAGGAGGGAGAAGGCGTCGGCACCCGTGTGAACCCCCGCCACGTTTGAGTGTTTGAAGCATTAAAATCGCCGGGCCTTTCTTTTTTCTCTCTGTTCTGCGCAGCGGCGGCGTCGGGATTAAGGAGGTTTTGTAGCGGAATCCCCTCCGGAGCCCCGGCGGCTGCTTCCGCGAGTGTAAAGAGAGAGCGCCGGCGGTGGTCCGGAGCAAAGTGCTTCTTTCCGTGCCGAGCACGTTTCCTTGGGACTGGCGGGGGCGCTGACGGCGACCGACAGTGTCCGACGCGGACACGACTGTTGTTTGCCTTCGGACATCGCGCATTCCGGAAAACGGGGAAAAAAAAAAACTTTCCGTTTTTCCTTTTTTTTTTTTTTTTTTTTTTTGTTTTTGCAAATGCTGTTTGAGGGGAAACGATACGGAACGCGTACTCAAGCCGAGCGCACACAGGTTTTTCTCCGTCTCGTTCATCTATGTGCGTTTCTCTTCATTTCAGAATGCAGCCGACCACCTCTAATAAGACTAAATAGATTAGTCCACATTCTACTATACTCCGTGCCACTAGTTGCGTGCAGTGCAGGCGAAGGCAACGTCAGGCAAAAGGAGAAAAGGAGAGCACTAGGAACGTTAGAGAGGAGACGAGGTTTCCTCTCCTCGACCCCAGACTTCCCAGTGCTTGCCCCTTCTCCCCTCGCCTGGCGTTGCCTTCGCCTGCACTGCACGCAACTAGTGAGTCAGACATCTCCTTCGTCACGCGATCACGCTCTATCACGCAATAGTGATCACACGAACACATACCAGTACGATGCTCATGCAGTTTGAAATGGGCAGGGGGTGGATACAATAAGACGAGGGGTGCGCGAATATACAAGCACAAACATACAGACAGACAGACACTAATAGAGGAGAAAAAAAAGCTCGCAACAGATTGAAGAAAAACTAATGTGGAAGTTAGTCAAAAGGCCAGGCGGTGGTCATTATAGATATTGGGGGGGTGGGAGAGAACAACTGACAGAAAGGAAGATGGGGAAGTGAAAAGAGACACAGAGAGACGCGAGGAAGCACGAAGGCCCAAACGCGCGCAGGCAAAAACCGAGCGCCCGTGCGCGCGGAGAGAAATGGTATAAGCGCGAGAACAAACTGCGAGAGATAAAGTGCAAGGGACTTACGGCGAGATGAGGGCCTGTCGTAGCCTCTGCCTGTCCCGTTCTTCGGCTGGCTCGTCGCTCTCGAGGGGAATCAGGTCCGCTTCGGTGTACCTTTCGGGCGAGGGCACGTCAGGGAAAGCTGTCGGCGACGCTATGGTGGCGGGGCACCGCGGGTGGGGACAGGCGGAAACAGACACACCGCTATGTGTGCCTACTTCAGCCGGCCCTCGCCCTCAAGTTACACCGACCAACTTCGCTTAGTTGCGCTCCCTCTAACACGCAGGGACATACCGAGAGAGAAGGCGAGAGGGATAGAGATAGAACAATGCGATAACAAATAATGAAAAAAGAAAGACAGGAAGAGCGGAAAATGGAGCGATGAGCGCGAGGTACCTCGCGCACCATCCTCTGAGACTTGATTTGAACCAGGTTCAGGACGAAGGACCTTTACGCTTTCACGCGCCGGACGGGCCGGGTCTGGGGAAGAAGGATACTGGGCCTGTCCGAAGGTGTCGCAGTCGTCCCCGTCCACGTCCAAGTCCTCTTGGTCGTCGTCCTCGTCGGCGGCGTCCCTGCGGGAGACGCTGCTGCTGCTGCCCCCGCTGGTCACCCAACCGGCCGCCCGGAAGCCGCCCTCGAGCAAGGCCGTGGCGCGCAGCCGACTCTGGCCCGCCCACTCGTACTCGTCGAACGAGCCCTCGGCGTCCACGGACTCGTCTTCGTCGTCGCCCTGCGAGCGCCCGGACCCCCACCGCGCCGCCGTATACCAAACCGCACAAGCAGTGCTGAGTGCTGCCACCCGGCAATGGATGAACTTCGGTTAGTCGACACATTGCAATTGCAAAACAAGTTGCGGCTCCCAAGTTCTAAACTGAACAAATTTTTCACATTTGCTCAGAATGCAGCGATTGCCACGTGGATCGCTGCGTCACGCGACCTAACGTCACGTGATCGGACGTCACGGGACACGGTGTCAAGCGCAAAGCAATCTCTTTGCCATGGCGTCGAAGCACGGACGGACAAATTCCCGGAAGGGCTTCCATAATAAAGAATTACTTATAAGCTGTAACGTTTTAAGATGGCCATGGCTCGACAGTTCGCAAACATACGCGTTGCGAGCGCGTTGCCTAGTCTAAAGTTTCGCGCCCTTCATTGGCAAACTCGGGCATCGGTCCCGGCAATACGCAACATGGGTCTACGAAGAGTTGCATGAAACCGACTGGTCCACTGACCCCTCCGCGGGCCAGGCACCTGTCCACGTGTTCGGCGAGCTGATCGGGCGACCCCTGGAGTGCCTGGTGGCAAACCGGGCAGTGGACGCCTCGGCCCGACGCTCCGTTGCGGCTCCTCCGGTTGGCGCGCACCTTCCGAAGGGACTGCAACGAGGAGGCCGTCCCTTAGAACCAGGGGCGGGGCTCTTCGGAGTTCGGACCGACGGCGCGAGCTCACCTCCCACCGCGGCCCACCACCGCCGCCGCTGCTGGCCTCGCCTCGCTGACGCTTGGCCACGCTCCTGCGTACGACAGTCACCGTGCAGCACGTTGAGCTGGCGTCACCGACGCCATCCCGCCACAAACCTGCCATTACACCATTACAGCCATAGCTCTGCATTCAACAACCGACCCCGCCGCATATAAAAAAAAAAAAAAAAAAAAAAAGAAAACTGGAGTGGGCGATATTTCGGTGTCTAAGGACAAATACATCGAAAAAAAGCTAGAAAACGTATATTTTTTTCCGTCTGTGCGCGTTGCGTGGCTCGACAGGTGAGAAAACGAACTGCGTGCTACTCAATTATTTGCACGCTCAAAGCACTATAGTCTTGTCTCTTCGAACTAAGCACTAAAAACAATGAAAAAATATTTTTATTATTATCGGGGATAAGTGTTTCACCCGATTTGTTTGCTGATGGATGCTGAGAGGGCACACCTTCTCATTCGCCACCCGTTTATCTTCGTTGAGTTCGTTGTTTAGATTTTCTTTTGGGTTAGCTACGAAGCGATCGGGATATTAACTAATAGGTTGCGAATGCAGACATCGCCTCCTCGATGTTTCTTGACCGGTGCGAACGAACGAAGGACACGTATTTTCCAATAAACTGCAAACTATGACACGACATTCAGCTCCTTTGCCTATATAAAACACTCGAAATAAACCGTGAAAAGCAACGGTGCCGTGTTCTCTAATGTTGGGCACAAGCGAGCAAACATTACGTGCGGTCTGATAGCTGATGTTATACTCTGAGAAGTCGTTGTGCATCCACCTCACATCAGTGCGCTTGTGCAAGTTCCAGCTTGTAGCAAAAAAAAAAAAAAAAAAGATGCGCGGAGGGAAATGCCACGGAGCGAGTGAAAATAAAAACCGGAAGATGGGGGAAGAGAGGGACACGCAGGTGGTCACGTGATTCGTGTTGTCACGTGACTGCACCCTGACGACGTGCAAAAAGGGCGTCCCGATTGTCTCATGGGCGCCGCCATTATGTTGCTTAGTTATACGGTTCGAAAATGTGACTTTCTGAGGCACAGTGTCACAAGTCTCGGGCAGCATCGTTTGGTCCATTCGCGAACTCGTGGTCGCGGTCTCCTGGAGGACGTAAGAGCATTTCTTACGATTTCAGATAAGGATTCGGATAGCTGGCAACAACTAGCTTAGGCAACAAGACAGCGGCGTCATTACTCCGAACAGTATATTAATCAAAACGTCTATTTGCGCCCAAAAGTACACAATGCTGGTTGTATGTACAAAAAAAGCTGTGACGTCGACAGCTTGACATAGCCGAACCCTCCCCCCCCCCCCTCCTTTTCACCCAACACACAAACTCTGGCAGGCTCACAGCACGGATGACACACACACCAAAAACAGATAGTCGCGTATTAGAACAAAACAAAAACATAACAATAGGCACGTGGTGACCCCATGCAGACAGAAAAAAAAAAACTTAAACAAACGACAAAAAAAAAAAAAAGACGCTGGATACGCATATAATAAGACTGGCTCTACCTGAATCAATTTAATCGGGCGGTAGCATGCGCCTGTGTTTCTAACTGCAACAGCTAACCCCACGCGATTGCGAAAGGGGCTTTAAAGGCCAACGTACACTCCCCGCTCGTCACTCCCTCTCCCTCGCAGTTTAGGAGAGGAGGGTGACCAAAAAGATTATCTTCCCCGCAGAAAAAAAAACAAAACAAAAACGAGGTCTGTGCGTCGGCCTTAAAGCGCGAAGGCATCGGCAGCGCCCCCACCTGGCGATCCCTTGGAGGCGCTCCACCTCGACCTGCCAGTGCTGCTGCAATTCCTGCGCGCGCAGCGTCACGCCGCACACCGGGCAGCCCGGGGACGTGGAGGGGCAGCTTCGTCGCTTGGGCCCTGAGCACGAACCCCGGGGCGCCTTCAGAGGAGCCTCGGAGGCAACGAGGCCGCGACGGTGGGCTGTGGCTACGTCACCAACCGGCGGCAAACACAGATCAGACGTGCAGAGGACGCTACTTAATTAAAAGTCACTGGATCCCGGGGAAGCAGAGCCGAGGTCCCCGTATGGCCGCCATTTCGGTCCATGGAACAAGTGGTTTCTCCTTCACCTCTCTATTTTCGGTGAGCCGATCTAAACTCGCGCAGTGACGCGTCGGGCGCCAAGTCACGTGACGCGTCCACAGCGTCGGACTGGCTGGGATGGCTCCGACAAAAGCGGGTAAAACGTTTTTACCCGGTTTCGTCGGAGCCGACGTAGCTGTTGCCATAGCAACCCTCGCACTCGGTCCCACTCAACGTGTGTGTGAGTGTGAATCGCCCTTCAAGGGGCACCGACACATCAAAATCATATTTTTTTTTATTATCCGAAACGATTGAAAACGATGCCGGGACATGACTCTCAAAATTTGAAATTTGGAAATTCAGTATTTGTGAACTAAAAAAACAATTTCCAAATGCCGAATTCGAAGTTCCCGCGCGATCCGCGCCGGTGCGTTGACGTCAAATATTGCGGAGTCCTGAGAGTCCACTTTCTTTCACGACTCCCTGCTGTTGCCATGGCGACCCAAAGCGAGGAGGAAAGGAGCGAGCGCCGGCGTTGCAGCGGACCGGTTTTGAGCGGTGTCGGCTGTTTTCCGTGGGAGGATACAAATCCAGGAGACGGCACCACAACGAACTCCCGATTTTTGGTATTTCAAAAAGAAGGCGTTTTAGGATTGCCGTTATTAAATGTTATAGATATGTCACCTACAAAGCTTCTAAAATTCATGATTCCTGACGTCACGAATCAAAAGAAGCGAGGAGGCGAGAGGCGGGAGATTCAAACGCCAAAAATAAAAAGGCGCGCGCGCGCGGGAAAAATTTTTTTTTTTTCGCGATGCGGTTTTTTTTTTTTGCGTGTTTATGACTGCAATTTGCATCGTCTTAGACAATAAAACAAAATACGACCTTTGGGGTGTCAGTACCCCTTTCATCATAGACCAAAGCGCGGTTTACAAACAACCCCGCGTTTGCCCACAAGCGGTGTAAGCAAACGTGCAGTTCCCACACAAAATGTGGGAACTGCGCATGCTCAGAAACCAGACTGGTGTGAACCAAGGCGTCCGCGCCACGTCAACAGCAGCGCCACCGCAGCGACGTGACGTCAGGGCCGCAAACGCCGCTTTGCGTCTGCCGCTTTGCGTCAGTTTAGACGTCGTCGCGTGCTAGCGTCGCGCTCAGTGTGAGACGCTGCAAGACGCACTGGCGGCGACGCTGACGGAACCTAGGTGGCGCTGCGCGGATCAGTGGTGACGTTTGGAAAAGAGAAGTTGCAGACCCTCTCTTCTAGGTGGTATGGACTGGTCCCATAGAGCTATTATAATGTACGCTAGAGGTTCAACTGGCGCTAGTGTCTATGCGACTTCCGTGGCGCAAATTGAAGCGGACAGCAACCAGTCTACTGTTGCGGTGCTCCTGTGCATTCCTATGGCAAAATGCGCGCGCATTTTGTCTCTTCGCCGGAAGAGAACGTGGAACACTTTGGTTATTTCGGTGGTACCGAAAAGTATGTAGCTTGATTAATATTGTAAAAGTGTAATTACTCAAGTCAGCCCATTTTTCTTCATCAGTGAACGGTGTTTAACTTCGTTATATATCAGGCCCAAACCACCCAAACCTCGGTTCGAGGGTTCAAAGCAAAATAACAATCAAAATTAATATGGAGTGTGTTCAAGGTTCGCCAGCATTCCGGTGACGCTTATATATTGCCAACATGCCAGTTCTGTCACTATAGAAAAATGACCTCGTCGTGCATCTTTATGAGCGGGTAAAAACACTCAAAACGTAAAAATTAAAGTCTGTTTTTTTACTGTTTTCTCTGCTGGGCAGCTTTTATCGGGCACTTGTTCTAAAAGATTTCGAGTGTGCGAGTGATGTTTTGAACGTAGAACAAGCATCCTCGCACAGAGTAGAAAGAATAAAGCGGTACTTACTTATTTAAAATCGGAATATATCACGTGGCCTTCAATTTATTTTGATCGCACATGCGGAGGGAGTTACTGATCCAGTGTTACTGCGTAGTTCTTGCCGACTCTCTTGGTTTCCAGATGGCCTTCGTTCATTTGGCACGTATATCCCTCATGCTGAAAAACGCCGACGTCGTGTTCGCGCTAACAGTGTCCGACAGTGCACATAAATGTACGAAGCCGTTTTAGTCCCGTTTTTAATGCAATTAATTTGAAAGAAAAACGTCGTAACTGACCAATAATTTCGTCTGCCTGACTGAGAAATGTTCCAAGCTACTTAGTACGTAAGAATTATTCGGGTTATTTGCTCTTATGATCGAGCGCAGAGAGAAAATGCACTCACTTTTCCTTATAGAAATGCATTACCGGAAGTCAATTTTGGACTGACTGCTGCCTGCTTCAATTTGCGTCAGCACACTAGCGCCAGTTGAACCTCTAGCGTACATTATAATACCTCTAGGCTGGTCCCCGTGGCTGCGAATCATGGAGAATAGAAGGGTAGGAGAGGGCATGACGTCAGCCGCGTAGCCTCCACAAGCCATGCTCCCTTGACGCCTCGCCTCTTTCTCATTTTCCTCCTTACTCTCCTCACTTACCATGCCAACGTGACCACATCACGTGACAGTAGCTAGCCTTCGTCTTGCTATGGGGTACTAGAACACACCACAGTCTAGCCTTCGATCTGATAAAACCTACCGGACGGAGCGCGCGCAAGCCTGCAAGGAGTCCTTCTACAGTCAACCATCCATCTCACATGTGACATGTCACGCGCACCAATCGCCAGACAAATCTGCGGTCACGCTGGGCACAAAATCGTTTAAACTTTTTATGACTAGGCTTCACCAATATTGCAACGTGCCCCCTCCTTGTACTTCTAACCTCCTTGCTGCGAATGCACCGAAGTTGAAACGGAGTAGAGGGGCATTGCAGAGGTGTTTGATGCCGAATCGGTTAATCCCACCTCCACAATGACAGTCCAGAAAATGTGCGGCTCACGTTGACGTCGCTTGGTCAGCTCAGAACTGATCCCGGGCTCTGCACCGTTGCCGCGTGGTAGTCTGGCATTGCGCGAACACGACCAAAATGCGCTAAATTTCATCTTTAAAAAAAAAAAAAAAAAAAAAAAAAAAAGGAAACACTTACTGCGTAGCAACCGGTTGGAAGAGTCATCCACGTCCACATCGACATCAAGATGGTCCTCATGCGTACTTGCCTGCAACGCCGAAAATTCCTGAACTTCCGAGCCAAGCCCTTCTAACCTATAACGGCGAACGCCAACACCACACAGTCGAAATGACAACAAACGTTATTACCCCCCCCCCCCCCCCCCCCACCCCCCTTTGCTTTGCCTCTCGTCTCTAACATTTAGATTAAAGTTGGAGCTTTATCTCTCTCTTGCACTAAAAGCTACACCTTGTCTTGTCCCTCTTACCTTGGTCCCTGTGGTATTTCGGCGCTGTTTTCCTTCTCTACCCTTTAGGGACAAATAGATTATCCCTTCACCTAGAAGAAACTAAATAATAATAATAATAAGAACCTTGAATGGGTGGATGGATAATAAGGGCTGTACCCTTTATAACGGGCGGTAGCTCGCGCCACCTAGCCTAAAAACAACAACAAAACTATTTCCTCTTTCCTCCTTCCAAACTAATGCATTTCTTTAACTGTCACCAGGTGATGAAGTTGATCGCCAGGCAGACCTTTGGGGGATCGGGCAAACCACTTTAGGTGTGAAGGGCCACCGACTTCTGTCGAATACGAATCCGTGCCCTACAGAAACGCAAGCGAAACACCCCTCCCCTCCCCTCCCTCCCTCCCTCCCTCCCTCCCTCCCCCCCCCCCCCCCCCCCCCCTCGCTCCCAGCTTTTTTAAAAATATTTTTTTCTCGTTTTTTGACGTTAATGTGAAGCCCATCGTCGTACCTGACAAAAATCGGACAACTCCTATTCCGTATTTGTCTAAAAAAAAAAAAACAACCTTTTTTTTTTTTTTTGTTATTTTAGTAGAGGTAGTGCTTCCCGGTATTTCCGAAATTCGCCGGTGAAATTTCCGAGCAGCCAGTTTTCCACTCTGAGTTCACGTGGACTCGGCTAGTTCAGTTGGCATCGAATGGCAACAAGCAATAAATCAACGAGCTGTCTTCTCTTTACATCCAAATGGAAATAACAATCGCCGACTTCGGCATACACAAAGCTTACGAAGCAGATAACGGGACAACGGAGGTATTCGCTCCAAAGTTAATTTCGGTTTCGTTTTCACGTTTTTGGTAGCGTCTCTTCTCAAACTTAGTTTTCTCTTTTATTATTATGCTATGTGTTCTGTGTAATAAAAACACAGCTCCGCACTACCTCCGATATCTTCTTAACAGTTGATGAGTACAATCAGAAAACAAATATAAATATTTTTATGAGCGCAAATAAGTTGCGGCAAAAACATATTCGCAACGAGCCATTTTTTTTTTTTTTTAAGTGTTTGGAAGTGTGCTTGGAAGCGTACCTGGGTTCCAGAGCTTCGACACTACCACAAAAGCATGTTTCTTTGTTTTCTTTTTTTTTTTTTTTTTTTTACGCACTTCGTAAGTAATATTTTTTAGCTCGGGACATTCAGCCCACACACTCCACAGGTACCTTACAAGCTCATTATTATTATAATTATTATTATTATTAATTTAATGTAGACGACTCGGAGACAGCTGTCAGACGGTATAAAATTCCTGCGATTGTAACACAAGCCACCTGCTGTCAAGTTTGGTTGTCAAGCTAGCGGCGGTTTGACAATCAACATTTCAAGCTGAAAGTATTTCTGTCCCACATTAGCAACCTCTCTCCGGGTCATCTCTCTAAAAGAGACTTCTCTTTTCCTTTTTGCCCCTTCTCTCAATGCTTCCTCCATATTCGATTCCATCGACTACGCGATCAACATATCGTTCCCGCTAGTGACACACTGGTCGCACAAGCTACGAGTACGGCTCAGCCGTGCACTACAATTCAGGTAAGGATCGCTGAACGGACTCACCGCTTCAAACACGGCCACTCCGTCAGCTGGCTTCCCAAAATCGCGTTGGTCTTCTTGTTGATGTTGTTCCGCCGCCGTGTCCGCACCGACAGTAGTGTCGCGATCCATCGCTAAACCACCGCGGCTTTTTTTGCGCGCTCGCGCCAAATCCGAACGTGATAACAGCGCCCGCACGAATGCCCCCGTACTTTACCGGTGTTCGCACGGACTCATGCTGATACCCGGACAACGCACTTCACGATTACATGCGATTTGCGCGAAGCATCGCCGCACCAACTCGCCATGGGCGCCGCCATGTGTAAACATGGCATCGACGCGCGCAATGCATGCCGGGAGCCAAGGACGTGGCGTCACCTGTCGCCGAACCGGCGAAATAGAGCTGCTTTCGAGACGCGCGGGCAGTTTTGAATTCAGTTGAAGCGGAGTGCTTGTATAAACTTCTGAAAACGGGATGTTTCCGACTTTCACAGGTTGCTGAAAAGATTTATGAAGAATTCTTTTGGATTAATATTTGAATCAATAACTCTATGTTTGAATCCAGTTGTTCTTTGCACTGTAAGCACGCAGTTTCGATCCAGATGTCTCTTCTGCTACATTTTCTAGTGCAATTCACAAACTTTTCTTCGTTAGAATGGACTCCAGAACTGAACTGCTTACTCGTTTTACTGAATGTTTGCGTTTATGTGTTTGCTTTGGTGTCTTTTTTTTATTGTCCTGCCTACAGCTTGCCTTGGCCTTCAAAAAATGACCCGGCAGTATCTTCAAAATAAATAAATAAACCATGATTTATATCACACCGGGTTTATATATTGCAATGATTTAAATCAAACGCTTTCTCCACTTAAAAATAATCATTAAGGTATTTTATCATTCACCGTTTGTCTATTCTTCCGTGCTCTCCATCTGCACTTATATTGTATATAAAGCAAACAATCATCATGGAAGAAAAAAAAAATATCAGACACCCCTTTTTGATATACATACTTAGTGAGAAAAAAAAACACTCTTTTCCAGCTAAGGTGACTTAAAACATATAACTTTTATTTAAATATAAAAAATCTGACTTCCCTAACTAAAAAATAGCTTTTTTTTTTTTTTTTTTTTTTTTTTTGCAGGCAAGGATTTTAGATGAAGCTTTCGCCTCACGCGCTTCATGCCTTTGGTTGGGCTTTGACTCGGCGTACGCCAGAGTGTTACCCAAGTAGGCCCTGGTGTTATCCAAAGCGGAACATCAAATGCATTCGTATCCTGCCACCAAGGCCAGGCGAAAGGTCAGTGCAAAAACCGATTTGGATACAGTCTCGGCGCTGTGATCATTAGAGAGTTTTAGTGAACCGTTTCTGCACATCCCATCGTACCATATCGAATGCGCAAAAACGGTTCTCTAAAACTGTCTATTAGCATTAGTCTTGTACGTTACTCATTACAAGCAATCAAATTACTTGTCATCGATTACTCTATGGAGTACTTTTGTAATTTTTTGGATGCGTTTATCAGGAAGTACCCAAGAGAGTTATCGGACTACTTTTGGAAGTACTAAAAGGACCTGTAGCTGTTGCTGTTTTCCCCTGCCCTTTCTAATGACATCCTTTGTTTCTACAAGTTCTTACCAAGGAAAAGCCTTCGTCCGACAGGAAGAAGGTTTCTCAAAATCGGTGGATTAAAAAAGATGAGAAGTTTGTAATTCGACGATTCTAACCCAATATTCGACAGTACAAGAAACACGTCTTCAAACAGACAGGAAAATCGGTTTGTTTTGAACATTTGAAGTAATCGGAAAAGAAACGGTTGATCACTTAACCAAGAGTAATTGTAATTGTAATCCATTACTTTGAGTAACCTGTACAAGACTGCGTTAGCCCTAACGCAGCGCAGTCTCAGAACTGTATACCAATACGAAGTCAGCACTATACACCAGCAAGCTCAGCACAATTTCCAATGCTTTAAAAGGCCCCTAAAGAAATTAAGCAGTTTGAGTGGGACACGCGTGTCGGGAAGTTAATTTTATGCGAAAAATAAATTTAAAGCATTATTGATTGCGCGAGATTCATTTTAAATTTTGGGCGCAAAGTCCATGACTTCACGGAATGGCAATGCAATCTTTCCACCTCAACGAGATGGTCATAGACTCTCTTCACCTCAGCGTGAAGGCGAAGCCGATCCACCTCTCCTCCTCACACCCGAAATGCCCGGAGAAAAAATAAGTGGAAAGGAGGTGACTACCAACTAGATCGCGCCTCGCGCCATCAATATTGCTCTAAAAATCTTTTTTCACGTAAAATTAAATTTTTCACACGCGTGACCCAACCAAATTATTAAAAAAAAAGTTTTCTTTTAGGGGTCCTTTAATTTTAGGGGGTGTGGCGTATGTTTGAACAGGTTTTGAGGTCTCGAGTGTAGCCTCAAGAATATTCGGTCTTACGATTTCCGCGCTCTTCAACAGCTTACCTGACCTAGCGGGGGAGCGAACACCGAACCAGTGCGGACCGCCCTATCCAATATCGTTGCCGATAACCCGGGGTTTCGAGAACCCCAGTTCGAAAACCGCTGCTCTATAGGGCGGGAAAAAAAACAAAAAAAAACTCGGCGCTGAAACTCCAACTGCCCCGGCAGTTGCCCCTTCCCAGAAACCGATTGAGACAAACGCCCCAAAAACGGATCTCAAAGGCCTCCTCCGCTCCATCCGTTGCAGCCGCGCTCCGTCCCCATTCTAAAGCTTCGCTGACGGCCGACAGGGGGCGCATCTGGCGACGAGAAATGTACGCTCGCTCCCTTGGGGACGTTTCCACTATGAACGGCCGGAGCGGACTCACCGTACTTACACTGGCCACACTGTGACCTGCCATTTCCGGATTGAGGGTGTGGGGGGGAGGCACCCTTAATCTGAAACAATGGGTGCCGGGCGTTTGCGCGTCCCGAATTTCGGGGAGGACGTGAAAAGGACGGTGGGGGCATCTCTCGCCGGGGCGCGTGGCGCTGGTGGTGGCGACGGAATAGATGCGTCTCTACTCGCTACGCGACAGCTGACGGATTTTTTTTATCTTTTCGGTACCGAGATTGGTTGAAGTTTTTTCGTTTGTTGGTTTACTGAGTGGTGACTTTATTGATCTGTTTACGTTTGAAAAAGGTATTTTTTCTTACCTAAGGTTTTTTTTTTTTTTTTTGTTTTTTGAAGTAATTGACATTGACACGAACTTGGAGGTTGAGGCATCCCTCCGTTCCCATTTTGCGCAGTGTCAGTGACGGGAAAGGGTAAAGTATAATGGGTTAGAAATTTACAGCAGTAAATTTACAGCAGTCAATAACCTGAACTCATTTCCTTAAAAAAAAACACTAAACTCCGACCCCCCCCCCCCTTTTTCCTCCCTAAAAAAACAAAACAAACAAAAAATAAACTTTCAACAAAAAAAAAATAAAGAAGAAGAAAAGAAGGTCAGTATTTAAATTGTGAGACCTATTGATTATAATTTATAATGCCATTAAATGCAAAGGTGCAAGCGAGCCGGACAAGAATGACGAAAATATTGAGCTGCTCTGAGACCTGCTGTACATTGGGATCAACGTCCCCAAGTAATAGCGTGTGTCGAAATAGATCCTAACTCGAAATATGTCCCGCCAGGTAATTACTGGTGTAGGCGCCGAGCGCCAAGAGAAGAAGAGGAGCGTGCAGCACGGCCGACGATCTCGGCGGGTACCGAAGATATCCCTCATAGCGTTAGATGTGTAAAGTGTAAATAGTGTAAATAAATGTGTAGGACCTACACTTGGTCCCTACACTGGAATAAACAGTTGTATTTTATTTTTCAGGGGAGTGTCTATTTTGCGACATGCGCATTAAATTTGAGCACTTTAAAAAATGTTCCTTTGGAGTTGCAGTGCCTCATTAATTAAAATATAACTTTTTTTTTTTTTACGTTCTACACCTGGGTTGTAGAGGAGAAGCGAAAAGTTTACTTTCACTACAACAGTCTCTTACGTGTTACTCAAAGAAAATGACCGGTTACAATTACTCTCGATTGAAAAGTATTCAATTCGATTACTGGATTACTTGACACAAAATGTAATTGGCGGTTACTTCAAGAAGTAGCCTCAACTTATCCGATTACTTAAGGTTTTCCAAACGACAAAAAGCTTTTTCTGTCGGTTTTAAAACAGGTCTTTTGTACTGTCAATTTTTCTTTATTAGAATCACCGAATTATGAACTGCATATTTTCTTAATCCGCCGATTTTGCTAAACCATCATCCCGCAGACTTGGTTCCCGGATTTTTTGTAGGAAACTCGTAGAAAAAAAATTACGCCATTAGAAAGGGGGGGGGGGGGGAAGAATAGGAAAGGTTACAAGTCATTTTTGGTGCTTTCAAAGGTAATCAGATTAGTCTTGTGATCACAAGCATATGTCACAACTTAGCAATTGCATTCACACTCCAGTTACAAAATTACTCAAACTTAAAGTTATAATATGTCTTTATTTGTAAACAAGATGTTAGTTAATTACACTTATTCAGACAACCCGGGGAGGGGGGGGGGGGGGGTAGGGGGGGTCCTAAAGTTTTCAGAGTAAACTGTTAAAGGGACCCCTCAAAAACAGACATCGAGTAATTTGACTACATGTAATGAGTTTTCGTACAAGACTGCGCTACACCTCGGATAATGTTGTTTTGACTGCGTGAGACACGGCACTTGAAAGCACCCCCCCTCCCCTTCCCGAGCATCTTTGTTTCAAGTTGTTATCTGAGCGAGTTATTGGCGCGTTCTGTACTATCGGGCCGTAAAGCGCCCCCCCCCCCCCCCCTCTCTTTCCCAGTTAGTAGCGCGACAGACTACCGACATTCGGCCCAGTAAATTTGGCAAAGAAGTGTCGATAGCGTACACAAACACACATAGCAACAGTCATACAGCGGAACCGAGTAGAACTTCGATGCTCACCTTTCAGTCGTCTGAGTAATCCGTTCCCATTGAAGCGTTGAAGTTGTACGTCCTTTATTGGTGTCGATGACGCTCTGCAAGTTCCGAATCGGAGCCATATGTCTATTTTCAGTCACTAAAAAGTTAATTAACAAATTTTGCTTAATTAGTTGACGGATCGTTACCATTAGCCCCCTATTCTATGTCCCCCTGACCTTATAACTCACCTGCACAAACCGCATAAGTATAGCTTTCACGGCTTTTTTTAAGCAAATCTATAAAGCTTAAAAAAAATAGATACTTCATTATAAATTACTCCACTGGAAGGAGAGTAATTCTTTTCTTTCCCGCTCCCGCGAAACCACAAATTAATATTCATTGCAGATCTGACAGGGATTCCCTCGAACACCTAACTATACTTAGGGGAAACTTTCTGTGGCATTTCCGAGTAGAGGAAGAAAGCGCGCTCACGGTTTCGCCTCGAGATTAGGGAGCCTACATACTCGCCGACTCCGTCTGTATGTAGGCTCCCTACTCGAGATCGAACAGAGTCGCCACCGTGCGGCCGATGTTGGAAACCCAACAAGTGTGGATACCGTCGCACGTCGTCTGCTCTCGGCGCACGCTGAAGCATGGATCCTGGCGACGACGAAAGCTTGTTTTCGGGTAAGCTGCGCTATTCACGTTGTG